GAAGGGAAAGAAGGAAAGGGGAGGAAGGGATAGGAAGATTACATTTTGGCTAAAGAAAAGAGGTGATCTTAAGGCTGAGGGGAAGTTTAATACATTTAGTGCATCTCAATTAAAGCAAACTTCTTAGATTGTGTCAAAAATGGAATAAACCCTTTATTTTTATTTATTTATTTTTTTGCTTTTTTTCCCCTAAGGAACATCTTCTCCTCTCTACCTCCCACCCCACCCCACTTCCATAAAACACAACTGAGATTTAATGTTCTGGAGCAAATGTCTTTCGACAAACTTAACCTGCTTAATTTTCCTGACAATGTGCACAGTTATGTTAGTAATTTGCATACTATGGGGAAGGGATATGAGACACCAGCAAACTAAAATACCCAGAAGTCAGCTATATGTTACAGTGCTAATCTTTTTCCTTTTTTCTCAATGTGTGTCTGTGTGTCTTCCTTAATGTTTCCATGTACTATCATAACACACAACTACTGTGGTCTGATCTGTAAGAGCCAAAATAAGAAGCTTTGTGACTATTATTTCTCCTTTAACTCTGACTCTTACGACTACACTATGGCTTTTTGAAAATCATGTTAAAAAGGCTCTGATTAAAACAAAAACTCCCAAACAACAAAGCAACTTCTTTATCAAAGGCTGGAGTATTTCTAGAAGTACCTTTCAACTGACTAGGGGCTGGAGAGGAGAGTGCACTTCTTTTTTTTTTTTTTTTTAAAGGAGACTTGCGAAAGACCAGGCTGGAGTGCAGTGACATCTTTGCTCATAGTAGCGTCCACCTCCTGGGTTCAAGCGATTCTCCTGCCTCAGCCTCCCAGGTAGCTGGAATTACAGGCGTTTGTCACCACACCTGGCTAATTTTTGTATTTTTCTTTTTTAGTACAGACGGGTACATGTTGGACAGTCTGGTCTCAAATTCCCCTCAGGTGATCCGCCCGCCTCGACCTCTCAAAGTGCTGGGGTTACAGGAGTGAGCCGCCACGCGCAGCCGAGGGTGCACCTTTGAAACTAGGTTTCTGCAGCCCACATCCATTTTGGTAATCAAGGACATATTGCTGGATTTAAGACGTGAAGAACAAGTCAGGAGCAGATGCTCCAGGCAATTCGAGGGGGAAGGATGCCCCAGTCAGGAAGAAATGTGTTAAGTATTAAACCTGTGTCTTCGCTCCTTGAAAGCACCTGGAAAATGGGCGCGGGTTTGCTTTTAATCTACGGTCCTGCCTGCAGCCTGAGGAAGAGAGAAAACGCCCTGGGGCCAGACAGCTCCAAAACGGGGCCGTTACCGTCTTAACTTTCTCTCCTCTTCTAGAAGCAGAGGGCTTGTCTTCACGCTTCCTTTCCCCAGCCCACGTCCCAGTTCTCCAACAAGCTGCGCGTCCCCTTTAAGAGGCGGGGGCCGTCCCTTATTTTCTCCTCCCAGTCTCCCGCCCTTCACACCTTGGGTGGGAAAAGAGTGTGGGGGCGGGGTGGTCTGCGAAACGGGAGGGGCGGGATTACAGCGAGCAGCCCAATGGCCTTCGAGGTTGGCCGCCGTGGACTCCGGCAGCCAATGAGCAGTAGGCGTTGGGGGCGTGGCGCGGCGCTGTTGCAAAGCATCCAACGTGGGTCTGTTGGCGGCCGCGGGGCGCGGAGCGCAGGGGGTGTGTGCGGGCGAGCGGCTGGGGGCGGGGTCTGGGGGACCGGTCGGGGCTGGGCCGCTGGGAAGCGAGCGGCGAGCGGCTGATTGTTCGGCCGCGAGGTCCGCCGGAGTCTGGCTGCGTGGTGGAACCGTGCGGAACCTGAGGCTGCGCGCGCGCTCTCTACCAGCGACGCGGGGCCAGCGAGGCGCACTGGGCCCTCCGAGCGCGGGGCCAGCCGCACCGTCCAGCCTGGGATCTACGTTTTTGCGCTCCGAGCCGAGAGGAAGATGCCCGTTGGCGCCGAGCTCGGGCTGCGAGGCTGAACGCTTCTTTTCCAGGCGCAGCGGCAGCACTGCCCTCGGCCGGTGTAGCTAGCGGCACTCGGCGTGCGCTGGGTGGACGATAAGCGCAGACTGGGCACCCCTGCCTGGATCGGCGGAGTTCGCACCGAGCACAGGAGGGCCGGCCGGCCCGGATGGGCGCGCAGTTCGCGGCCCCTGCCGGGTGCTGCAGAGCAGCCCGGGCACCGGGGTCCCGCTGAGTGCCGGAGCCGCGGCCGCAGAGAGAACTTGGGCCGGGTGCCATGCCCCGGCGTGGAACCTAGAGCCGAGCAGAGCGCGCCGCGGGCCCGCCCGCGTCTGCGGCCGTCCGGGTCCTCACAGTCCCCGCGCTCGGAGTTCGCAGCGCGCTCCAGACAAGATGGCGCGGCCGGTCGGAGGAGCGGTCGGGGCTCCTCGCCGTTCGCCTTGCCTTCTCCTTCCCTGGCTGCTCCTGCTTCAGTTGGAGCCGGTGACTGCCGCGGCCGGCACGCCGGCGCCCTGCGCGGCTGCCTGCACTTGCGCTGGGGACTTACTGGACTGTGGCGGGCGCGGGCTGGCGGCGCTGCCCGGGGACCTGCCCTCCTGGACGCGGAGCCTGTGAGTGCCGCCGTTTCCGCCCTCCCTGCGCCTCGGGGCTATGTCACTTCGGGATGGGACAGCGGGGGTTCGTACTCGGGGAGCCTGTGAGGTCTGGGTTGTGGAGTTGTGCGGGCTGGAAGATTGTCAGCTTGGGGTGGCGGAGGGGAGACCCTGCGTGGGGATCCGGGCGAGAGGGCGGGCGAGAGGGCGTGCGAGAGAGCCTGGAGAAGAGCGTGCCTCGTGGGGTCTGGAGACCAGCGAGCGTGGGTCGTGGAGGTTTGGGGGTTAGGCAGCACGCGTCGTGAGGGCCATCTGGGGGTTAGTGAGTGAGAGTCTGGAGCTGAGTGTATTTGCGGGTGGGTGGGTGGGAAACGTCTGGAGCAGAGTTTGAAGAAGTTTGTGTGGGGGGTCTGTGGGTGCATTTCCTTTTCCTCTCCTGTAATCCAATTCTTTGGTGTCTGAGCTCCTTGGTCTTCCAATGGGTAGTGAATGAAGATGACTCTTGGCTCCAATCATCCGTTTACATTATTTATTAGTGAGAGAGAGAGTGTGTAGCCGTCTCCTGATACCCGAAGACCGTGGTGACCTGACTTGGCTCTCTGTGCGGTGCAGAAGGCAGCCTTCCCCAGAGGACCCCTGAGTTAGAGGACTTTGACAGTTCCTGGCGACCTGTGAGTGCTGGGAGTTTGTCCTTTTCCGCCTGGTTGGCATTTTACGGAACTGTGTTCCAGACCCTTCCTGTGTGTTCCCTGGGGCCCCATTGGGCTTGATGATCCAGTGGGGTGGGGCCCACTCTCAAGAGGCTCTCCTCCGTAAATGGTGCAAATGAGTTTTGGAGTAGTGCTGCTTCAGGAGAGGGTGCCAGGGTCTTGGCTGATTTAAACAGTTTGTTTCACCCGAAAGAGGCTCTTTTCTGTGCTGTCAGGATGTGGGCCTATTAGAACTTAGTGGGACGCTTCTTTCAGGAGATTTGGTAGGAAAAAAGGCATTAGAGGTCTGTAAACGTGGTGGAATAGAATACCCTTCTTTTACTTCTAAAAAATCTGGTCCATGAGTCAAATCTTGTTCAATTATGGGTAATTAGCATCTCTGTAGAAGTAGTATAGTAGTACCTTCCAGAAAAGGCCTAGCTTAAATAGTCTGCGTTTCAGTTAAATAATTGGACATTTTTCCTAGAACATAGGAAAGGCACAGCAGTTAACCTCAGGCATGACTATGGCTGTTTTAAAAAGAGAACACTGCTGTCACAAGTTGTAACCAGCACCTGTGGCTTGACCGAGGAATGTGTGGCTTGGGTTCGGACTGCCGTGAAGGGAAGAAAAGTTAATTCCTTTCTAGGTAAAGACCCCGTAACTCTCAAAATGGAGCAAGAATCTGACTTGGCCCGAGACACTGCTCCACGAACAAGTACAGAGTTCTGAAGACAACCAGGACGCTGTAGTTACAGTTAGGTTTTCAATATCTACTTCTACAGAATTCACTGAGTTAGTGGAAATCAGTGGTGGTAGGGTGGAGGCAGAGCTGTGTTAGGTACTGCGAGATAGAGACCAGTATTGTCCTTCGGTAGGATCTATTTAGTCTGGGGTATTGTGATTTTTCCCTTACATATGGTAGTTTGTTTTTTTTTTTTTAAATAGAATCATGTGGGCAGAATCAGATTAACTTGTTAAGTGTTCACCTGTTGGAAGAGTGACTCCCAATGCCATGTGTCAGTGGTATTGTGGGGAAGGCACTTAGTTCCACAGCAGTAACTTCCCAGAGAGGACAGGGTGTCCTCTTATTTGTGCTTTCCTGTGGTCACAAGATCCACTTTGCCGTGCCCTTTAATTTTTGAGCAAACATACTGGTTATTTCTTTAGGCTTTCCGTTGCCTAAGGGTGACATTTCACATGGGTAAATACCTTCAAAATTGAAGTCCTTCTCTTTTACTCACACCTTTGATGATCAATAAATACCAACATGAGTATTCTGAGCATCAGTAGACTTTAGTATACTTGATTATGGTGTTAGCTGATTAGACTTTAAGATATGAGCATCGTGATTTCTGGTTAGTATGTAACAACACAGTGTGCAGTACGAAAAGGCTATCCTTTGAAAAATATTTGTGAAGTGATCTTATTTCTGATTAAGGACAAATCAAGCAAATGTGTTTTTTTCCTGGACTTCAGACTTCTGAATTTAAACCATTAGTCTCCATGAGTCTTATTCTGGAATAAGAGTATTTATATTATTTATATTCCTGGCCAAGATTCAGCAAGACTTTAGGGGAGAAAGTGTCTTTATATGATATAATGAAATGCCATGTAGTTTCACCAGGTTTACACGCTCTAAGCCCATGGTGTCTAGAAAATGCTTTGAGCTAGTTTATAAACCCATGAACTAGATTTACTGCCGTTAGTTCAAACAACTTCAGGCTGTGGGTTTGAGATAGCATGGGACCTGTGGCTTTATGGGACCTTTTTTTTTCTTTTGTAAACAGTGCATCTAATGTGGAAGTTGCTTCTAGGCCTAATATAAGAAAAGTAGAACTTTTAAACAGTGAATGTAAATGCAGTGTGAATAGAAGAAACAGAATAGAGCTGATAATCGGTTTATTTCTGGGGCCTGACGATAACTTACTCAGCACAATAACTTATAGTTGTAGTAGTCAAGCCATAATTTCAGTCTCCCAGCCCATTACGTAGGTGAGATTGGCATGGTCCAACTAGCACATTCATAAATAGCACCAAGCTACTGCCAAGCCTTATTCCAACTTCCCAGAACCTGAGAAGAAGCTGAACTTCTTAGAACTCAGATACTTGCTTTCTTTGAAATTATTTTTGAGAGCATGGCTTCAGAAGCTATTTAAGAAATATTAAATACAGTTTACCTTAGACTCTTACCTGTGTCATAAATTTGAGCAGTGTTTAGTCACAAAATGTTGCTAGTTTAAATGTTCTGTGAACTGGGATTGGGATTAGGAAGGCAGGCAGGCCCTAGAGGAAGAACAAACCCTGATTTTTATTCTGAGTGTGGAGCAAAGATGAGAGAGCATTCAAAAGCTAGGATATTCACAAAAGTATACCAAATGTAGTTGTCTTAAGACACATTAAGATGAGTGTATTGATTTGGATCTTTTTGTACTATATGTTTGCAATACCAAATCAGTTAACTTAAATCTAACCTTGCCAATTTTGGCAAAGAAGTGGTGCCTATGATTACATTAGAAAATAAACACTAAGTATGGTTGCCATTGTAGTTGTGAAGCAAAGAGGGCCTTTGTCTTTCAAATTTTACAGTTGTGCTGGAAGGCCCAGGTGTGCAGGGTGTTGTGAATTAAGGGTTTGGAAAATACTTCCCATCCTGTTCATGCAAATTAGATTTAAAGTGCAGATCACCAAATTGTTCCAGAACCTAAACTGAGATTACCTTTTTTAAAGTAGATTGATGTATGGATGGTCCTGAAATACTTCCTTCTCCATATCACTTAAACTTACCAGACTTTGAACATCTTCCAATTAGTGGGACAGGGAAAGCGTTGTTTGGAATAGGGAGCATTTTAAACCCAGGGTAATTGCCAAGAATACAATCTGAAAGGTGCAAGTGCTCTTGGAGTTTCAGGGAGCTTTAGCTTGAGCTCAGAGTCCTTTTCTTTTGCAACAAGTGTCTTACCTCTTGATGGGGGAGAATTTGTCTGTTGGTAGTTCTCTGACAACTTTTTTTTGAGTCAGGTGAGGTTTCTGGCAAATGATACTGGTTGCTGTGAGAAAAAGGCACAGTGTTTAAGTCTTGCTGATATGAAATTATGGCCATAACGTCTACTTTTTGACTACTGCTAAAGTAGGAGGTGTATAGAGATCACCAGCGCCCAATGTGAATTAACTGTATTTTGGCACACAGTGTCCCTCTTGCCTTTAGGACATGTTAAAACTGTTCCTGCCCGCTTTTCAAGGGACTGTTTTAAAAAGTGGTGTGTTGTCTCTTTGCATAATTACATCTGGTTACTAGATTTCACAAACTTTGGATGTTTGAATATATTATTAGCAGTAGTTCTTGGAACTGTCTTGAGAAAGATGAAGAAACGTAAGGAGTGTGATGAGAGCTGGTTCCTAGTGGATGTCCTCATGTCCCATCTCTGCAACCCTGCACGTGAGCAGAAAGCTTCCCTCCCTCCAGGGTTAATTACTTTGCCTGAGTTCTCCCTGCAGCTTCCCTGAGTCCATTGGGACGGCCTCTGGCTGACCTTTCTCTCCCTCAGACACCATGATCACAATGAAAGGGACTCTCCGGCTTCTGCAGGGGTGTCTCCTTGGTGCAGACTCTTTTCAGCATCCTCTCTTTCAGGGTGGACAGGAATGTGGGAGAGAGCACTGGGGTTTTGTGTGACTTAACAATGCACCTGGCCCAGTGCTGTGCACCTGCTAAAGCCCTGAGGTTTGTTAGCTAGGAAGGCTGGGTGGAAGTTGTTTAAAATAGCCTATGGTTATTTAAAAAGTAGCATCCGCAGGAGAGGGAAATCTAGAAGAGGGATTCATTGACTTGAAAGTTGCTGTAAGCAGTAAAGGATGTTGGTTGTACCAGAGTCTTTTTTCTTCTTTTCCTCGTTTGTTGAAAACATAAAAGGGATTCCTCTGACCTACCCCATAGGTAGAAGGACTTTTAAGTTTCACGAGCAAGCCTAAATTTCAATTCCTTTTGAATGAGCTATGTGACATTTACTCCCCCCTCCTCAGTGGCTGCAATTTGAAACTCTAGGGGTCTTTTAAAAGCGAACGGGACTCTGGGCCACGTTAATATTCAGAGCTGTTTACAATGGATGCAGTTTCAAAGGCTGAAGGCATTGTCTTGAGACACGAGGGAGGAGGGGTGGAGGAAAAATTCCCAGGCAGGGAAGGGCGAATATCTAAAAATCTCCAATGTTTACCAGCCTGTGGGAAATTTAGGGACCGTTACTGTTATTTTTTATAACTTGAGCATGACACTGAGCCACTAGGGTTCATTCCATCTAACTCATGGCTTTAGTTCTTGCATGTCAGTTATGTGGTTATCTTCTGCTTTTGTTTCAGGTTAAAGTGTGGAAATCTAAGAAACTAAGATCTTATGTCCTCTGCAAAGAAATAGAGGACTTTGAAGAGCAGAGGATAACATTTTTATGATAGTTTACCCGTGGGACTTGCATTTATGTTTTGCTAAGACAATTTTATATAGCCACACAATTTAGAAGAGCAGTCCCAACTGACCAATTAATTGTCCAATTATGACTAGGACTGAGAGTACTTTTTGCTGAAGTACTTTATAAGTGATCATTGTTATTAAGCAAAATGAATGGATCAATAAAGATTGTAGGAAAAAACTGCATTTTGTTGATGATCTAAGTTCTAATTGAAAGTTGCCAATTTATGCCTTTTTGGTAGGAGGTAGTGGGTATGCTTGTGAACTTTTCTTATACAAAGGCTTCTTGCTTTATATGTTCCTATATTTCCTATATTCTTATTTTTGTATAATTTAATATGTTATCTTTTTACCCAAGCACTTAATGCATAGTCTTTTGAAACACAAGTTATAACCTCAATCTGTTTATAGAAGTCATTCCATTTTTAAACTGTTTCTCCATTTCATTGGGTTTTATCCTTTTCATTTCCTGCCTTTAGTTCTTTATATCTTCTAAATGGACATTTGCTACCCAGCTGTCCCCAGTCTCCATTTGGGTTATTGATTGGGGGAGAGAATGGGTGAGGACAAAGCTTTTCTCACCTTTACTGTGTTAAATATGCAGGGGCTCTTGTCCCTGTGGTCACACCCAGCTCACACTCTTCATTAAAGAATGGTGGTGAAGGGGTTGAAAGTTAATTCTTTGGTCCATTTCTGGTACCTCCAGTCTGCAGCTACATGTGTGATTTTGGGCAAACCTCTTCATGTCTAAAAAAATAGAAAAATACTGTATATTGTAGAAGCTGTGAGGACAAAGTTAGATGATGCATGTATTTAATTAGATTCAATGATGCATGTATTTAATTAGATTCGTCAACATGGGTCCATCAACTTCATGATGATTCTGGAGCACGATTTGAAGGTTAAAGGCCCTAGTAGCTCCAATTTTCATCCTGTTGCACAGCCAATCTCTCTAAGTCAGATTCCCTCTCTCCCCCCTCCCCCTTCCTTCCTTCCTCCCTCCCTTCTTCTCTCCCTCCTCTTTCTCTCTTTTTCCCTCCCTCCCTCTCCTTTCTTCCCTCCCTCCCTTCCTCCCTCCCTCCCTCCCTCCCTCCCTTCCTTCCTTCCTTCCTTCCCTCCCTCCCTCCCTGTCTCTTTCCTTTCGACAGAGTCTCACTCTGTTGCCCAGGCTGGAGTGCAGTGGTGCAATCAAGACTCACTGTAGCCTCAACCTTGTGGATCCAAGCAATCCTTCCATTTCAGCCTAAGTAGCTGGGACTACAAGGCTGGGGCTACCACACCCAGCTTCCAAGCTAGATTGCTGGTGACAAAGGCTTTCCTGGAAATGTTTACCTTTCTGCTCTGGAGTGTTTTGGGGTGGGAAGATGGCAGCCTTCTCCCATGAGTTTTGGTGATACGTATGAAGCTGCCTTCTCCAATGGGTTTTTGGTGATGTGTATGAAGTGCCACAAGTGAACCTCACATACCCTTGGAAATCTCAGCCAAACAGGCAGGAAGCTATGAACAGTTGCAGCAGATTATATAATTAGCAAAAATTATTAAGGTATTTTATAAATCTATTCCAGTTGTATAAATACTTTTATTTAGTATTATCCTTTTGGAAGGGAGGCAGGTATGGGAAGGCAGCAGGGAAGTGAGAGGCCCTTTAATCATTTTATCCAATTATTTCCCAGGATTTTATTGAAACTGAGCCCTACCAAGATGCAAGTAGCACCTCTCAGTCAATAGCTCGGAAAAATGCAGGTGTGCTATTCCAAACAGGGTTAAGTTACAGACTTTAGGGCTGGCTGAATCCTCACTCTACCCTCTTCTCTTTGGAAAACCTTGAGGGAGGAGGAGGGAGGACAGGAGACAATTGTGGAGTTGTGTGCAGAGAACATTTTTCATTTGTTTTGGTCTGTTTGGAATTGCATGGTAACTTTGTAGGAGACACAGGCGGGAAACACAGGGTCATTTGAGGAATCTGGCAAGGATGCCACCTGAAAAGCCGTTTACTGTTTGCTATCACTCCTTGTGCACCTGTACCTGAGTTCCTTCCCCAGTGAATGGCCATGATTCACAGCCTTTCCCACATGAACGGCCGCGATTGTTTGCGTCTTTATTACTATTTAATCTAGCACAACCGGTAAGGCCCATTGTGCGAACAACCAATCTGTTCATCTCTGCAAGTCCTAATACATTTTGGTTTCCTTATGAACCAGGATGCAGGTTCTAATTACTGCTTGTTAAGTTTGTTTTGGCAAAAGATGACATTTGGAGGGTTTAAAGAAAGCATAGCCTGTCTCTTTTTAAGTGTTTTGCATTGATTAGTTTTTGAACTTCTGTGGTGTACAGGTCTCTAATTTTTTATGATCTGTGTTTTCAAGATCTCACATTAGGACGAAAATGAAGGAAATGAGTGAGGATCTCTCTTACAAGCAGAATTAGCTGGACATTGAGAACTATGAATATAATGCAGAGTTTTTTTCTTCTTTTTTTAGCTGATTAGAAAAAAGACCTCCTACCTTTATTTTCTAAGACTCCTTTATGCAGCATTTAACAACTTCCCCCTCCCTGTTTCGCTTCTTCCACCAATTTATAATTCGCCATTCAAATACTTTACTGCTTACCTTGGTCAAAGGCATACATTGCACTGATAAATTCCTTTCTCCCAGATTACCTACTTGATGTTAGACTGTTAGATACAATGAGAAGGACTGAGCACTTCTGAACTGGAAGATAGATAATCTTGTTGTAGTTTCAAATCTTGTAGTTCCAGTGCTCTTTGTTTGAAAACATTTGTCTCTTAAGCATTAGCACTTTGGGCTGGACAACAAGAAATTAACAGGCTGGGCTCTGCTTAGTGAAAACTTCCAATTGATTAGGAAGTAGGCTGTTGCAGATATAGCTTCTTTTTCTTGTGAGATGATCTGAAATACATAGTTTTTAGAAAAAATTCTGAATTAAGGGAACATTTGATAACGCAGCCAGGTAGTTTAAATAAACTAACTCCTGTTGCTATGGGGTGTTTTTTCTTACCTTTTGATTATGGTGAAAGGTAAATATGTACACAAGTGGACAGAATAATGTAATGAACTCTAGGTACCTGTCACCCAGCTTCAACAATCATCAACTCATGGCCTGTCTTATTTGATCTGTTTCGCAATATGCTTCAGCCCCTCCATGTTATTTATTTATTTTTTTGGAAGTAAATCAAGGGCATATCATTTCATCTGCAAATGTCTAGGCTGTTTTTTTAAATTAACAGTTTATTGGGATACAATTTATATACCCTACTATTTACTATAGGGTGGTTTTAAGAAATTGGGAGTTTTGAAAAAATTGACATTAATTTTAACTGTGTTTTTCAAAAAGAAATTTTGGTAAGCTGTATATTTACAGAATGTTTCTTGGGCACAAAATGTGTGCACTCTAGTTTATATGTTCTCAAAATACAGTTTTTTTTTCTTTTTATTTGTAGGAGGTGTTTAGCAAGCTCTCTTGTGCTAGTCCTTTGTGCAATTCTGATTAACCTTCCACTTTCTCCACATAACTCTTGCTTGGGAAGTTTCTATCAAGCTATGAATTGTTGATTACACTACATTAGTGAACAAACATAATTAGAAATGGAATAGATCATTTAAAAAGTGATGTCTCAGATACTGTTGTTTAGTAGAGGGATATTTAGCCATTGGTTGTAGTTTAGTCATGAGTCTGAATTGAGTTAACTATTGTTTACTTTGTAAGGCCTGACCCTCCAGCTGTGGCTACTTGATGCTGCTTTAAATAGAGTTAGAGGCAGCCTGTAAGCCTCAAAAAGCAAAGAACTAGGTTCCTGCAACCCTCTGTGCTTGATTTAAACTTCACACAGATTAGAAAATGCTTTCTCCAAGTAGCTGTTGAATGGTTTGTTTTATTTTATAAAAATCCATAGTTTAATTTCTCCACATTTTGGTACTTTGTTGGTGAGGCGGGGGCTCCTTTAGAATGGATTTTGTGCTAGCTGGAGCTTCATTTAGGAATCTGAGTGGGAGTTACTAGTCCTCCAAACTTTACTCTATTCTAGTTTTTGAAATGACTTCCATCTTCTATCTGTGAAAATCAAATTCCAGGTAGATTATGGAGTGTTCAGTGGCTTGAAAAGCTGTCCAACATGGTCACGTTAAACTGATGGATCTCTGAAGCTTAATTAAATTTATATGATATCCGATTAGTAACCATTTACCGTGGGTTCTCTGTTTAGAAAAGTGGAAGCACACTCCAGTGCATTTAAAAAAAAAAATTATGGGACAGAAAAGCTTAGTATTGAGAGACTCTGACTATAAAATTAAGTGCTGTTTTGCAAATCGGGAGAGCAGCATTCTTTCATTTGGCTTCAGCAGTGTGGTACCTTGACCTAGCATCATGCCTCCATCTTAGTTTTTGTTTTATTTTTAATTAAGAAGAATTTTTCTGCTGTGTTTGTGGTTTTCTCCCTCCACCTGGGCTGGTGTGAGTTTCTGGCACACAAGCTCCCAGTGCTTGCAAAACTTATAAACAGTCAGAAGAGCTCGTTGCTTCCAGGAAGTGGATTGTTGATGGAATGAAGTGATGGATGCAGAAGCTGCAGCTCGAAGGGAGCCGAGTTTCCTTCCATCTTGTAGGAGGGGAGATCCAGAAAGCAAGCGGACATGCACTGGAGTTACCAAGATCTGCCTCATCGCAAATTCCTCTGATGGTTTTTTCTCAGATTTGGAGTCTGTGTAGGACTCGTTGCGTTGGGTAGTTTGGCCTTACCCAGGGCTATGCTTTACCCAATAGAAAAATAAGA